CGACCAGTCTTGACAGTCATGGTGTCTCGATTAAAATGTCCTGATCTTGAGACTACGATACGTTTTTAGCATTTTATGCGATTTTTCTTGGAATATGATATCGAAAGAAGAAAGGTTTAGCTGTTAAGGACATGGGCTATACTAACTTCAAGGTATTGAGTATAACTCTGTTGCAATTGTGCAAGCTGGCCAGCAATCGCCTATGCCGTTCAAACGCAGCAAAACGAGTCTGGGCCACGTGCCATAAACGGAAAAGTGGCTATAGGCTTCGTCCTCGCGTCGTGGACCGACGTTTAGCATGCATCCTGCAAAGCATTTCGAATCTACGGGGGAATACCATAATATTGGATTTTATTTCTATCTTACATTTGATGCTTATTAAAGTGGACGGGGAGTCAAAGCACGTAGCTTTCTGAGAATGAGTCGTGGAAGAAGTAATTATGATGCATCCACCAGGCCTGCTTTGAAGACGTTTATTTGGGGTGCACATGCATTGGAAAGCGATTAAACTTAGAATAAAGTAAAGGTGATCCTCAAGCTGGCGTAAATTTGTTAGAAAGGCCCTTGACGATTGTCTCAAATTTTTGTACGATAAGCGAAGCTGGGTCCCACCCGAAGCCGAACGGAGATGTGCTTATCAAGTTGGGCCTGGTATCCGTTAGTGCACTGCTGCCTGACCACGACGAACTAATACTAAATTTTCGTCTATCCTCAGACAAAAGTCGTCGCTAGAGAGGGGTAGAGGCCATTCCCAGACAACTCCACAGAAAGCAACTATTAATATGTGACACATGTGCCTAACTCATGTTAGATCACAATATTTTGACTACGTATAGATGAACCTTGATTTTCACTTATTTATGTTTTGCCATAATTATCACTATTAATACTTCTTTTATATCATAATTAAATTTTCATTGTTAAGGAATCACTCAAGGCCTGAGGCTTGGATCGCAGGGATGATCCTAAAAGTGACTAAAGGAGACAGAAATACATCGTTTCACTGTGTTTTTCTTTACACCTATGGACACTATACAAAATGCTCTGTTTATCTTTATCAGGAAGGAAAGACAATTTCCCTTTTATCGAATGCCTGATCCGCCTCATCCGCTTCATCCGCCTCATCCGCCTGCTTCGCCTCATCCAGAGCAACATAGTCATTTCCATTTAGGTTAATTTCTTTTTCTTCTTCCTCTGCTTCTTCTTCAATACTGCTTTCCTTTTGTTTCGTCTTTGTCTAAGATAAGAGAATAAAAATAAAGTCATGCCTAAAAGATAATATTTTACATAATAATTTGGTTTTATTCAATTTGAATCCTATACAGCGCTCTTGGCATGAGCGAATGTAGAGTGGATTATAACATGAAAACATTAGAGTTAACAGCGAAAGAGGATGTACTCTTTCTGATCATTTCACATTTTTTCTGAAAGCTCCCAGCTAAGTTTCTGCACAAGTCCAGAAAGCAAAACATATTGAATTTGTAATAATCGAAACCATACTGGATTTTCTTAATGGTGTTTTAGCCTGAGCAACTATATTTATTAAAGTCTTGGAGAACTACCTCCATTCCATTTTCGCATACTCGCTGTGGTTACATCGTCGGAGGAACAGGAATTGTCAGCCTCGTCACTTGAGGGCAAATTGGCCGGTGTAAGTTAGCTGGAAGAGCTGAGTGAGATAAAAGTACGACCATAAAATGTATTACGGGGGCTGAGCATAAGAGTCAAACCGAATAGTCAGCGAACTGAAGGAGCATTCCCCTTGTCTTCTTACTATGCTCGAATTTGCATCATCTAGCTCAAGGACTCCAGTTGTGTGTATATAATATTTGTGTTGCTTACTTGCCTCTACCCTAACAATGATATGTTGTGGCTGATACATATCATTCCCCCTTTTCAATCTCCCATCCTTACTGCTATTGAACTCAGTCTCGTGCACTACTGCCTAAATTTTAATAAATAATATGATTGTATAGACGAAGAGCAATTGGGATTCGATGAATCTACTGCAATAACAATGTTGTGATGACTTTCATTTCGCGTGAAAATATGTCTGATGAAATTCGTAAGTCGATCTCACCATTGGACGACGGATCATTCCCGTTGTGCAGTTTGATTTTTCCACGATGTCTAGATTGACACAGTCCACGAGACATCCTTATTCGGTTGTCAAGACAACTCACTGACTCGTTAGCTTGAATATGGTTGTAAGGATGATACTCTGCTCTGATGATGTTCGTCATACGACGGACGATAGCTTAACACAATTTCACCGGAATCGAAGGAGCTTGCATCGGAAACAGCGTCAACAAGAATGTTCCGGTAAAGCCAATCGACAGCTGGTCAAGAGGAATCCGCCATTGTTTTCTGGTGAAATCGACCTTCGAATCTCTTCACCAAACACTTTCACTTGAAATGAAATTAAGCTCAACAATTATGAAACAAAAGCTTTCTCGAAACCCAACTTTGCTTCGCATTGAAGAATTGGCTGAATCTTGGCGATATTCAGTTAAAACTCTTATGAATTAGCAAAACTAGTGGGTCAGAATGTAACTTATTAAGAGAATACATTAGTCAGTCTATATTCAGTATCTATGTACACCAGTATTCCAGTTCAGTGGGCCATCCAGGCCCTAGCTTTCAGGTTGGAAGAGAATACTTCTTTTACCATTGACGATAAGTTCTATAAGCCGGCACAAGGACTTGCGATAGCATCTTGCTTAGCCCCCTTTTTTACATGCAACTAGATGGTGAAATTCGATGAACTATTGAAAAGAGTTGCTACTAATTGTTCGTTTTTAAATTGGTTCTCGATACAACCCGTAAAGCAAATACCAATAACGCCTGAATTGTTTGCTAGATAAATGGATGAATATTTTTTCATATTAGAGTAGAATTTCGAGACTACCAGTAAATCAGTAATATGAGATGTATTCACCCTATTTCGTCTAAGCTGATGAATTTTCCCACAATGATATGAGTTGAGCTGACGTTTGCATTGAATTGCATATAGCCTTGCTTTCCCAAAAGTTTTTCTCGTCCAGGCTGAAGTGGACAGCAGTTTCGACCTCGCATCGGTCTTATCAACACCCTCAGCGGGAGTCGAACCGCGACAGTGCAGGATGGG